ATATAGAGAGCGTTAACCGCGTCTTAAAGCAGTAGTGCAGACCCTATATGTCTCTCACCGACTGCGTTCATAACATAGTGCAGTTTCTAGAGTCAAAATCGGTTGACACTAATCGGTTGGACGTCGACGAGTATCGCCGCCGCAGGCACTTCAAGGGCTTGAGACCCCGCGTCCGTCGAATATGTCAAATGCTGACTGGGTACGCTTCAGATATCATGCTAGCACACCTTTCAGAAAATTCCGATGTCCGGCTTTCAAGCGATGCTGCGGACACGCGCAGCTGTCAGTTCCATCGTAACTGGCAGCTGCCGTGTGTTCACATCGTTAACTTCCTGGAGCAGCATAGGGTGGACCCCTGTCAGGCTCTTTCGAAGACTAGGTGAGTATTTTGTGTGGACGTATATGAGGAGGCCGTCGCTAACGAGAATGTTGGCCCGGGGGTCATCGGACGACTTCTCAGAGGTTTGCGAGTCGTCCAGGGGCGTTGCGTGCTCGGTCGGCCACGAATGTGGAAGTTAGGGAGCAAAGTGTCATTGCGCAGAACACGTACAGATGGGTCTTGGCCAGAACCCCACTGTGCGACAAACACATTACCCTCCTCTCTTATCTGACAACGAACAACCTCGTCACTCGTGTCAACTTCCACTTCATCCCCGTTCGGCTGTGAAAGGGAGTCGACAAGCGACTCTTGTAGCCAACCAGAAGGGGCATTCATGATCCGGTCGGCAAACGCATCAACTTCCCGCAACAACTCGTCGAAGCTTTGACTCCTGCAACTCTTTAATTTCTCCACGATAGGCTGTACGTGGCTCATAGCTACCTTGTACTTGTATGCTTCTGTTAATGGCCTGCGTACTTTGCTGACGAGAATGTCTGCCGGGAACGACGTAACGACCCCCGGGTCAACATTCTCGTCAGCGACGTCCTCTTCACATACGTCCACACGGAAAACCCATCTGCTCTTTGAAAGAGCCTGACAGGGACCGAACTTATACTGCTCCAGGAAGTTAACGATGTGAACACACGGCAGCATAAAAGTACAGGGTGGCTATGAGCCACGTACAGCTTCTCGTGGAGAGATTGAGGAGTTGCGGGAGTCAACGCTTCGAGTTGTTGCGGGAAGTTGCTGGCCTCTCCTAAGACCTGCTACCGAAACGTAGGTTATTACAGGCAGTTGTTATTACTGTTTACTAGAAGGTTTTCGAGTCTATACGGTGACGAACACATGGTTTACAATGTGCATAGCCTTATGCACATTGTGGACGATGTTGAGCGTCACGGTCCACTGGACTCATTTTCGTCTTTCCCTTTTGAAAGCTATTTAGGCAGATTGAAGAATCTGCTTAGAAGCCCCTGACGGCCTTTACAACAGGTAGCTCGGCGTTTAAGCAAGGAGGAGGTAGCTACGCGCGATACCTCAAGGCCTTCTTCCCCCAGATTCCTTCATGAGCATAATGCAGGACCGATACCTGCAGGCTATGAGGGCAGTCAGCAATATAAATGTCTAATCACAGATAGATATCGCATTGACATTACCTCAAGCAATAGGTGCATAGAGATTGGTAATCGAATAGTATGTGTTAAAAACATACTATGCGATTCAGATGGATGTATACGTTTAGTCTTCCACGAATTCGGCAATATTACAGACTACTTTGACTATCCTAAGAACTCCTTACTAATGAAAGTTTATAAAGCCAGCTTAGATAACAATTTACTCTGCTCACCATTGCCAAATGAGTACATTAAGTACATGTGCTTTCCAGAAGATAACCACTACGTATTAAGTGAAATTATATAGAGATTTAGGAAAGCCACTTACTATCCTTTTGCCTATGCAAATAGTGCTCGTGAACCCTACAAACGCACAAGTATTATAGCTAGCATAAGCTCACTAGTCATTGGTCTGCAGGGAAGAAGTGGCCATTACGCTAGCACTGAATTCACGTTATTTCCTGTGCGTTTGTAGATATTATCATGAGCAAAATACCCACTCGTCAACTACCGCCAAGACAAAGAAGGTCTGCGATTGATGAGGCGCTCTACCTCCTGGAAGGTGATCATGCCTTCGAAGGCATATCATCGCCTGTAAGTTATGCAAAATAACGCTGTTATACCTTTCAGGAGCCGCAGGAGGAGGCCAATGATTCTTTCGAGACGATCCCCTGGGTGATGAGATACCCACAACAGTGCCTAAGGAAAACGATAATGAAGACATTCTGCTGTCTGTGAAAATAGACATCTTGATGGAAACAAATCGCAAAGTCCTAGGACGTCAACGGCTATTGGAATCGTTGATTCGACAGCACGCTAAAACTGGGGGACAGGTAGCTTCTCAGCTGCCCATGAACCCGCTAGACCACCAGATACGTTCCGGTGAAGAGTTTCGGAACTTAAATGTCCAATTACTGGACAATGAATTCAGAAACCATATGAGGTTATACTTGGTAAGTCTGCGGTAACTTACAAGTCTACAACATGCAGAAGTCTTCGGCGCATGGAGTACCGATAGGGGCGTAAAGTTGTCTGACCTGGAGTCAGCAATAACCAAGCGCCTAAAAAGGTCGCTGGATAGCTATGTGCAACGAAAGAACAAGTCACAAGTCCACCGAGATGAGATTGGTAAATTGATTGCCGTTTATCATGAACTAATTCTGACTTGTAGACAATATCCCAGGACCATCAAGTAATTCCCCGCCTGCGTGAACAAAGGGATCATAGAAGCTGTTCAGCAAGGCTATGTACATATTCCGTTATTTTACTTTTAAATAAAACTATTCCACGATAACCGTCCACAAATTAACTATGTGTACACGGGGGTGGGGGCAAAGACAAGAAAAGGAATGGATGGGGGCATAAAAGGGCATTGGGTTAAGAAAACGATCCTACGCGTAGCATATTGCGCCCCCTTTTCGCCGATGGCGTAGTATCTCGATTAATCGATATCTAATAGGTATCTATTTTTGCGACAAAATAGATATCTAATCGATATATAAATCTCGATAAATAGATAACTAATAGATATCTACTCGATATAGTTTGCTACTAGGACGTCGTCGCGAGTTACAAACGCATAGAACACAGACTGAGCATGCCCGTGTTTGTCAGTTACCACAATGTGGTACAATGCACACCCCTGCCTATTGGTCCGGTATGTGGCTTCCATTTGTACCACATCCGGATACTCTGAGTACGTCGCCCGCAGAGCCGGCGTCGTATAACTGGCGGCACGCAATTTTCCCTCTTCCTAGAACATATCGTCTTAAAATAGTTTGCTATAGCAAACTAGTGACGAGGAGACTGCTAGACGAAAGTCAAGAAGACGACGACGAGCGATACTGGGAACTTGGCGAGTCGCCGCTGTCACCGGTAGTAACTTACAATATACTTACAACGGTTTCTATTTAGGATGAAAGAGAATCAGACCAAGAATCAGCAGACACCTTACCAGCAAGAAGAGAACGGAAAGACACAGGTAATGCTATATCAAACTAATTTTCGTTGTAGTATGCCATGACCCGTACTGCCGGGCAGTTATTTCTGAAATGCAGGCAGACATAAGAAGACAGGGCAAGGACATCGCATTACTGCGTAAACAGCTTGCCTGGGTCATAAAGGGCATCATGAAAATCCTCGAAAACCAGCATACAATGCAGCTTAACGACATTCCTCGACAACCAGCCCCTGGAAGCCCGGAGGCCGCCTTTCCAACCAATCCTCTAAGGCGGCCCATCAGTACAAAGTCCGACTTCCAGGAGGTTAACAGCAGACTGCACGACCCCCAGGTTAAGTCGCAGCTGGTAAGGCTAAGCGAATTTTATGACATTCATAGACGCACTTCCTCGTATGCCTCGGTGGGCGCAACACCGACGATTTCGTTAAGAGGGTATTTTATGCCCTGTTTGATGACGAGGCGTGCATGCACGTGAATTTCCGTGAGAAAAAAACCAAGGAGGGCCTGTGCGGGTCACAGGTTTACGAGGTGATAAAGGGTAGGCCCTTGCTTACATGTAACTGCATGGAAAACAGACGTTTATGCTGCCTGGAACAAGGGAGGGAGAGTGGATGTTTATGAACTTGAGGCCGCCTTCACTAGGCGGCTGAAGAGATCACTCGACGCCCTTCGGAAAAGGCGATCTCGGCCGGATTCCCTTCTCGATGACTCTGACGGTAAGTGAAACTGAAGTATTATTACACATACTTGGTTTAGAACCCTCAACAGAACCCACGTCGTCCCGGCCGCGAGAGGATTAGCGCCCAGAATAATTGCATTTCTTATTTTTATAATAAATCATTACCTCTATCATGACACAACGTCTTCCTTCAACTATCGTGGGGGGGAGGGGGGTTCCGTAGTTCTTTAAGTACTAAATAGGATGGGAGGTGGGAAAAAGAGCTTTCGTTGGTGCTAAAACGGAAAGGTCGCTAAGGAATGCCGTCCCGCAGCTGCATAATGCCGTATCGCGACTTTTCGCCATCGTTTCCATAGCGACCACATGGACAAAATCCGCTATAAATCGGTCATTGTATCGCGACTTTTCCACAGCGAGGCGCCGTCACCTCGCTGTGGAATTGCTACTAGGGTACTAGGGAAGGAAAACTTCAATGTGTCAACCAGAGGATGGCAGGGCGAGAGTTTGTTGCTCTTGCGTTTACTGCAGCTGGTATAGGTAGCATACAAAGGAATAGGACTGTTATTACGGCTTACCTTCTCGTATTCTCGTACTGCTGACATTAGGTCCTCGTAACTAGTTTACCCTCCATTTAGGAAAACATCCCTAAATAAGGCGCATAGCCTGCGCGTATGATCCTTTGTGGTGGGGCATGGTCATGGCAAAATTGCGTCTGTCAGCAAGGCCCGAGAGTCTGTCAGTCAGGAGCCTGGGCTCTTTGGCTTTGAGAGTCGGGGTCCCGCAGGCGCAGGCTTTTGTCCATGGGTCGCATGGGACGACGTAACCGCGAGGCTGCCCTCCTTGCGGTACTGCATGCCGAAGAATGAATCACAGCCGGTACGGCTACACAGTGGCTTTAGAATTAACGAAAATTCAAGCATACTGTCGAATTGAGGCCAAAACGCACACGTACTTCCAACTGTAGAATACAAGACGTCTCCGCAGTGGGGCTGCCAGCGGGAAGCTTATGCAAATTGACAGGCTTGAAATGGTAACCCATCTCCTATGCATAGTCAAGGTCAACGAGTTTTATTTTTAACCTCTGTAAAACTCGAAATGGTATCCTCGAACGCATCAAAGGATGCGAATTCCCGCCCGTGAAGGAGACGTTGGGAGGTCTCCAACACAGCATCGCCAACCTCCATGGCGTTGTAGCGGCCGAGGACGTCAAGGGTAGCACACACACCGGAGTAAGGGAACGCCGAGAAGGACGCTTGGCCGGGATAGACCTGAACGGAGCTGTTAGCATTCCTTGATTCACATCCATACACAGAAGAAGAAGGCATGTCGAATAAGAGGTAAAGTGTAATAATACGAGGTTGCACGGGGAATCGTATAATAATCGTTAATAGTACAAGTAGGATGGTTACATCGGTAGAATGACCTGTCTGGGTGGAGAGACGATGCCAACATGCCAGCTAGTAAACCGGTGGGGAGCGCAGCGCTGGGGGCAACTACAGGGAAGGGTCGAGGGAGTGCCGATGTTGCGAGGAGGCGAGCGGTTCGGACGATACGTTGCGTTACGGTACGACGAGGGGGAAAGGGATCGGCAGAAGAGAGAGGGAGGGACACCGGTTATCTTCGCCGACACGCGACTACGCCATCTCCACCCTAGGTCCTCGCGCAAAAAGTGTCACCTCATTCGAACAACTCTGTCCAAGTCCAGGGGCGTTACAGCGTGCCCCAAGCGTGGAATATTCAAACTTCCGCGCGTCGATCAATGAGCCAATCACCGATCGGGACTCAGCCAATCAGTGCAGGGTTGTCAGCCCATTAGCGAACAGTGTAACACACCAACCGTACTGACGGACAGAAACTCTTTTGTTTTAATCGCGACCACTCTTTTTAGGTCGATCGTGAGGACTGGTCGCGTGTGAACGATCGTCGACGGCCGTCGTCCCAATAAGTCCCATCTTGAACACTTTTTACCTATCTGCTTTATTGTACATTTACGCTTACATGGTTTGCTGTATCGTTTTTCCCTTCAGCCTTCCTCGCCGTGTTCCGCGTGTATCCATACACCCTCCGAGCTCCTAACGTTTTCACTCATGACCGTTTTTCGGCTGTTTGCTGTGGTTCATCCTTTTCCAACCCAGTTACATCATAAGTCTTACTTATACTCTTCCTCTCGTATACAATAAACTGTTGCATTTCCCAACCGTCGTTTAACATCCCCCACTGACTTGTATGATTGTATGCGAATGCTTGCATAATGGACATCTTAGGCTCGAATACTACGGACTCAGAATCTCTAACCAAGAAGAGGAAGTTATACTCAGAATCGAGCGATCTACCGGCAGTCCCCTCCCCGAACTCGCGAGGTATTACAAAGTCGCCAACCAATCAGCGTACCCCGTTTGCGAGCAATGGGAACTTCACGGGCGGGTGATGAACAGCCGCGAGGGGAACAAGCAGTTCATCGCGATCCCACCGCTGCCACCAGTTTTGTAGCAAGCAAGCGGACAGAACACCGTCCCAAATCAGAAGATCTCGTCGAAGAAGGGAGTGTTTATTAGGAAACGGAAATAGCGGGAGAGAGAAGGGGAGACGAGACACAAAGGTGCTCAAGAGGAAGAAAAGTGAAACACAAGCAGGTAGCCAGAAGATCCAACAGCACACGCCACGGGGGAACTCGATGTGTCGTCCTTGTCCAATCAAGTGTCCTTTTCTCTGACCCCGCCCGGACTCGCTTCTTCGGTTTCTACAGCAAGTTAAGATAAAAGCAGAGAAGTATAACTATGATAAAGAATGGCCATGATGAATTTTCCATCACAATCCCTCCAGTCACCATAGGTCGGCAAATTAGCCACTTTTTCGTCCTTACCGCGCAAATGACAGCCAAGTAAACCCCGGAAGGACATTACAGTAAGCCTGGTTACTAAATGGCACACGTAATTATTAAGTTCCTGTTTAACATTCTTATCTACTGCAACAGTTTTAATTAGAAAACATCTTGTTGGCCTTTTACTGAGCTGTCCAGTCGGGCCTTCGCCCGCCTACATGACCATGGGCTCCAGACATCGAACTTTTTCCCTTGAGGTCTTCAGTCTGAATTCTGGCAAATCCAGTGTTATCATCTCTAATTGCATATCGACCGACTGCTTAGGGTGTGTCGAGCTCATCACTTACCGATCCTTTTACGGATAATTATGTGCGTCTCTCCTGACTAGGGCGCATTACACGAATGGATTTATATAAAACTACGCTGTGCACAGATGGTTTCTAAAAACTATTATTAGCGTAAGATTTGTGAGGGATTTATGTTAAGTCTTATAGATGGGATTTGAAATGTTCTCTACTGTTTAGTGAGGATTACTTTGTGAAAATGCACGCATGAAACCATGCATTCCCAATTTATTGCAAATTGGTTCATTTCACTTCAGTTCATTTTAGTGAGGAAAATAGGCGTAAGCATTTGAGTACCCTACTTGCAACATAAAAATGTGTGGTGTACAGAAAAATTTTCTGGGTTAAAATTGTTCAAACGACCCCAAAATGGAGCGCGTTACAGGGAATGAGCTCAACTTCTCATCGCTCTTGGCTTTGTATAGATGGTGACATCACAGCATCTGCGAGAGAAATTTCGCACATCCAGCCTTGCTTTTTGAGTGCTCAGTTTAAACGGATGACCTCGGAGACTGATCGTCGTTACAAATTCATAAAAAGTTTACGATGGCCAGGCTGCAATCCTACCCCTTAACAATGCGGAAGGCTTGCCAGAGAGCCCCATGAAGTTGCCTGTAATTCAAAGGAAATAGGTTTACATTTACTAGGTGGGTTGCACAAGGAAAGGAGCTTTGACCCCTAACCATTCTCGTGGCTCACCTCTGAACTCTTTCGAGGCAATTTTGATCCTCAACAGCCCACGCTGTCCAGGCTTGTATGCCGTACTCCAAGTGCGGTCGGACGAATGTTTCAAATGTCTTTGGGAAAGCGTTTTCGTCGAAGTCCATAAGCTCACGCTTGATGGCGTACAGTACGGACATTGCGCTTTTTGCCACTCTCGAACGATGAGTGGATGCTTTTAGGGAGCTTTTTGTCAGCACATCGGGGTCCTTTTGGGCTTCGACCTTTTGTAGGACTGCACCGCCCAGAAAGTAGTCTCTTGTGCTGGTGAATCTGGCTGTGTTGCCTAGGCGAAGTATGCCACATTGGCAACGCTGAACCGCAGGAGCCAACGGTTTAACCATCCCTCCAAGCGATTTAGGTTCATCTGCAGTCTGCCTTCGTTGGCAGGGCCCCGAATTACAATCCGCATCTTCATGTCATCGCAAACATTGCTGCTATTCAGTATAAAGCTCTTACGGCATCGTCCACATATATAAGGAGCAAAATGGCTTCCAGTACTGACCACTGGAGGACACCACCTTCGACCACAGCTTCGATGGGACGCTGACGAGTCTTTAATAAAAATTATTATTATTATTATCTGATTTTCGTTGTGCTGATCCCTATTTTTTATATCGTGTAAGAGACTCTGATGTGGCACAGTGTCGAACGCCTTCTGGACGTCAATGAAAGCTATGTGGACCGCGTACCTGTCGTCGAGAGCTAGCCTCCAGCACTGTAGAGATTGCGGCAAGCTTGTCGTGCAGGATCTTTCTTTCCGGAACCCATACTGGCATTTCGACAGCAGGTCCTGAACCTCCAGGAATTGCATCAGTTCACTCATTATGATCCTTTGCATAACTTTGCAGAGAATTCATGTCAAGCTTATGGGCCATTAGTTTGTCGTCGATGCCCTGCTACCTCTGTATAGCGGAGTAATATGCGCCAGCTTCCAATAGATTGGAAGTGTTTCAGCGTCAAACGACGTTTGAAAGAGCATCGACGAAGGCACAGAAAGCTCATTGGCAAGTTACTTGAGAAGCTTGGATGGAATCTCATCTGGTTCCGGCGACTTCGATTCGTTCAATGCCTCTAATTCTCTTCAGATAATGCCTTCTGATAAGATCATATCACTGACGCTTGGGGTCGACAGGTCTCCTGTGGAGGGAGGAAGGAACCTTGCCTCGTTTGTATAGACTAATTGGGAAAATTTTGAAAAATATACAGCTTTATCCATACTATCGGCTATCTCAACGATATCAGTAGTCCTTATTAAGGGGGTTTGATGCCTGTTCCTTGTACTTCGTCGGCGGTAGCTATGGAGTAATTTTGGGCCCTGCGTTGCTTTTCGTAGCGACTTCTTCTTGAAATTCCCGTCGCGTCTTCATAACAATGTTTCTCAGTTTGTTCCACTGTGTCTAATAGATATTGAAATATTCAGCTTACTTAGTGCCGCAGTATTTTCTCCACAGTTTGTGCTTCCTGTTAATTTCTTTCTTTAGGTTGCTATTTAGCAACCCAGGGCGTTTGTCCAGTTTTACACTAGTCAAGGGGCAGTGGTTTTTGATGAGCTGCAGGAGGACATTCTTGGACAACTCTCGGTCATCGTTGGCATTACCCGTAACCAATGAGTTCCAGTCGAGACCGGATAAGTCTGCCCTCATTGCATTGAAGTCGCCCCACCAAACATCGCGTGTTTTTTGGTCTGGAGTATGCGAAATGGAGAATAATGAATAATCCCACATAAGCCCTACATGGTCACTTAGGCCAAGGGCGGGCATGGAGGTGAGCTCGACTATGCTGTCTGGTGCTTTCGTAAAAACCAAATCCAGGCAGTATACCCTTTGTCCTTTACGTGTTCACGTTGGGAACATCACATATTGTGTGAGAGTTGCCTTTAATGTTTTGTTCAGCAGACGGTAATCGAATGTCGATTTTGGACCTGACGCTTGGAGGGTGTTCCAGTTTGCCATTGGTGCGTTGAAGTCGCCCATGATCATGATGTTAGGTCGACTGGAAAATTCCTCCAACTGCTCCAAAAGATTGGCGCCGGCGATTTGGCCTGTCCTAGGTGGGCGGTCGACAGTGAGGACATCGAGACTAGGGGAACCAGTATCCTTGATAATCAACCAACTAGCTACCGTGTTGAACAAAATCTTAGTGGTATTTTCCGACACTATCAGACCTTCATTCACATACACGACTGCACCACCACCCAGACGATTTTCCCTGTCCTCCGGCAAATTTGGTATTTGGTCAGGGTTTATTCGTTTCTCGCTAATATTCCCGGACAGCCAGGTTTCGGTTAAGGCTTAACATCCGAAGACAGTTCAGCAAGGCAAAGTTTTTGCTCGTCAAGCTTCGATACAAGGCTTTGGACATTTGTGTACACGCACCTTAATTTTGTACCAGCCGAATTTCCGACTGCATTTGTCACTGTAGTGTATATGTCTGCGTT